ATTTTTTGTCACAATGTTGTTTGGCGTTATTGTTGGCATTATTATTTTTAGCATTATCATCATTATCTTTAGTAGTAGTAGTAGTAGTATCATCATCTTTGCTATCATTATTGTTATCCTTGTTATTATTATTATTATTATTATCATTATTATTATTATTATTATTATAATTATTATTATTATTGTTATCATCATTATTATCGTTTGTTATTATAATGATTATCGTTATTATTGTTATCATCATTATCATTATTATTATTATTATTATTATTATTATTATTATTATTATTATTATTATTATTATTATCATTGTTATTATTATTAGTAGTAATGTTACTATTATTATTATCATTATTATTATTACTATTATTATTATTATTATTGTTATTATCATTATCATTATTATTATTATCATTATTATTGTTGTTGTTATTACTATCATCATCATCATCATCATATTGTTATCATTATCATTAACATTATTGTTATTATCATTATTATTAGTAGTCGTAGTATTACTACCATCATTATCATTACCATTATTATTTCTGTTATTGTTATTATCATTATCATCACCATTATTATTATTACTATTATTAGTAGTAGTATTATCATCATCATAATTATTATCATTATTATTATCATTATTATTATCATTATTATTATTATCATTATTATTACTTTCATCATTATCATTATTATTATTATAATTGTTATTGTTATTGTTATTATTATCATTATTATTATTATTGTCATTATTATTATTGTTATTATCATCATTATTATTACTACTATCATCATACTTACTTTTATTATTATTATTACTATTATTATCATCATCATTAATAATAATGATATTAATATTTTTTATTATTATTATTATTATTATTATTATTATTATTATTATTTTCATCATTATCATTAATAATAGTAATATTGTTGTTATCATGATCATTATTATTATCATAATTATTATTGTTGTTATTACTATTAGTATTATCATTATCAATATTATTGTTATTGTTGTTAATATGACCATTGTTATTATTATTATTATTATTATTATTATTATTATTATTATTGTTATTATTTTTATTATTATTATCATTATCATTATCATTATTGATATTACTATTATTATTGTCTTTATTATTATTACTATCATTCCTGTTATTATCATTATTATTATCATTATTATTATTATTGTTGTTGTTGTTGTTGTTGTTGTTGTTATAATCATTATTATTATTGTCTTTATTATTATTATTACCATTTCTTTTACTACTAATATAATTATGACTCTTATCATTATCATTGACATTACTATTATGATTGTTTTTTATCGTTATTATTAACATTAATTTTACTATTATTTTATTGCTATAATTATTACTATTAACATTGTTATTAACATCTATCATTATATTTATCTTCATCTTTTCTTTTTCTTTATATTTATCTTGTACCTTTAATATTATCATTATCATCATTATTATCATCATTTTTATTATCATCAATATTACTATCACTATCATCATTTTCCTTTATTTTTTTAGGTGTTTGAGCGTCTGTTAAAGCCTTAAAACCAGTTATCAGTTCTTGTTATTCACTAAAGATAGACAGTCTGTTTGGTATAGTACGAATTCCAACATACGTATGGACGCACTGTGCATATGCTATCATAGTAAGTGGTAGTTGTCTCGTTTCTTGAGCCGTTGATATAAAAAGGGATGGGGGAGACTAAGGTAGCAAGCGTGCCATTGAAACACTTAGGCGATTCGGTATTATCATTATATGTGTTTCCACGTACAGTTACAACCGTGAAATCACCAACTTATTGCATAAGAGAGGGATCATGGCTCGAGTATAAACACTACGTATTCAGTGCATTTTTCTATGAGCTAATTCCCTGTCTGTTTCTCTTCACTTCATTATCTTTACAAACCGCGGTTCAGCAGGGCAAGGAAAGGGCATCTCGCATCCTTAAGAAGTGCACGAATCCCCGGCTGCCTCGTATTTTCCTTTTATGCTACGCAGATAATAGTATATGACGTGAGGTTTTCATAGGTGGGCATTTTTGAACAAGGAATAAGAGCAGGAAAATGAACTGGGAACTTCTGTGAGAAAAAAATGTGTAAACTGTAATGTAATTCGCGAAAAGGTCCAATTTCAGTCTCTCTGCCTCGGCCATTCTAACAATAACGACAAAATTGATAACGGATGTAAACATAAGGAGGATATTAAATGACACTAAATCATTGGTCATTGACTTTTAATATTTTCCATATTTTCAATGCTCAAGATTGCTCTCGAGTTTCTGTCAGTAAATTATTTTTTTCTTTTTCCTTTTTTATTTTTTTCCAAAATATTTAGAATTCAATGTTGAAGGGCCAGTACTTGTGGTCTTTTACCCTGTAAAAGTAGAATTCAATCAATCAATACCATAAATAAAAATGCTGTATCATTATATATATATATATATATATATATATATATATATATATATATATATATATATATATATATAATATATACACGCATACATACATACTTCTATAATATATATATGCATACATATGTATATAAATAGATAGATAGAGATAGAGATATAATTCACTCATATAATAAAATCTTATAAGTATTTTGAGCCCTCCCACCAGGTTATCATTTCTGGATATGATAACGTATGATGACAATCTATTGGGAACGTTTAATCAAGCACAAACAAAGGCTTACCAATCAAGATGCAGAAGACGGCCGTTGCAATCGAAGCTGTCAATAACCTTTATGTCTTCGTCGGACAGCGTGAAGTCGAACACCTGCAAGGAACATTATATTCATCTTAAAAAGGAACGAATAGATCCGTTATTGCAGGTCGATAAACGATAGAATAAGGAAATAGATAAATTGATATATATAAAGTTTGAACATCGTTACCTGGAAGTTCGCCTCAATGCGTGCTTTGGTGACAGACTTGGGAATAACGATCACTTGGCGCTGGATCTGGAATGGGAATAGGACAGTTCTGTTATTCACGTGAAAGCCAATTTCTTATACTTTGTTTTGGTAGTGATTCAAAACAAAAGATATATTTTAAGCGATTAAAAATGGAAATGAAATATTCTTTTTTTTTCGTTGGTCTTTAGTTGTGTCAATATGCGATACATTGGGCAATTTTCTTAGCAAGAATGCAATGTTTTCAAAACACATTCTCTGTTTTTTTTTGTGTGTGGATTTTACCGATAAACTAATTTATCTTAAATGCCATCTGCCACAACTTTTCGAGTAGAACCTGACTCCATTTATATCCATCCGAAGCGTCTTTCTCTCCATTTTCCAAGGATTTTCCCATTAACCCACTTTACATCACTCATCCCAAAATTTTTCTTCATATAACCCATTTTTATCCTCACTCTTCCCAAAACGTCCTCTACCTACCCCTTATCCTCACCCCACCCCCCCCACCCCCACCCCCGCTTTCAACATCACCCTCAAAGCGTCACAACCTGATAGCGAATGAGGACTTGAGCAGGAGACTTCTTGTATTTTTCTGCGATGCTGATGATCCTCGGGTCGTCCATGAGTTGGGGTTCGCCGGGTTTGGCCCAGGGTCTGGAGCGAGAGAGAACAGAGGGGCCTCAGTGTGGGTGGGAGATTTGACTGTGTCTAATGCTATAAGGAGAGGGATCTTGATTTTAGTGTAGATGGGAACTTGGTTTTAGTGGAAACGGGAACTCCATTTTAGTGGATATGGAAACTTGATTTTAGCGGAAACGGGAACTCTATTTTAGTGTAAATGGGAACTTGGTTTTAGTGGAAACGGGAGCTTCATTTTAGTGGATATGGGATCTTGATTTTAGTGGAAATGGAAACTTGGTTTTAGTGGAAACGGGAGCTTCATTTTAGTGGATATGGGAACTTGATTTTAGTGGAAATGGGAACTTGATTTTAGTGGAAACGGGAGCTTCATTTTAGTGGATATGGAAACTTGATTTTAGCGGAAACGGGAACTTCATTTTAGTGGATATGGGAACTTGATCTTAATGGAAACGGGAACTCCATTTTAGTGGATATGGGAACTTGATTTCCGTGGAAATGGGAACTTGATGTTAGTAAGATTAAAAAGACCTGGATGTTTGTTGATTTTATGCCTGGATGCTTGATGTAAAGGAGAGGGAAAGGGAGTTTGATGTTAGTGAAATTAAAGGGAATTTGATACTATTGACATTAAAGGGATTTTATTTTTTTATGGAATATATCCCCGGATGTCTAATGCAAGGAAAGGGAATGGAAACTTGATATTTGTAAGATTAAAGGGACTCGAATGTTTGTAGAAATTATGCCTGGATGCCTAATAAAAGGAAAGAGAAAAGGGGACGAGATATTAGTGAGATTAAAGGGACCTGAATATTTATGGGATTCATGTATATAAGGAAAGGGAAAAGGGAACTTGACAGCAGATGACTTGTTATCTGAATAAATAACATTCATTCATCTAATGCAAACAGAGCTAGTTCCTGGAATCGAGCCCTCGGCATGTTAAGTAATAAAGCAATAATTCTCTCTCTCTCTCTCTGTCTCTGTCTCTTTCTGTCTCTTTCTCTTTCTCTTTCTCTCTCTCTCTCTCTTTCTCTCTCTCTCTCTCTCTCTCTCTCTCTCTCTCTCACTCACTCACTCACTCATTCTCTCCCTCTCATTCTCTCTCTCTCTCTCTGCCTCTGTCTCTTTCTGTCTCTTTCTCTTTCTCTCTCTCTCTCTCTCTCTCTCTCTCTCTCTCTCTCTCTCTCTCTCTCTCTCTCTCTCTCTCTCTCTCTCTCTCTCATTCTCTCCCTCTCATTCTCTCTCTCTCTTTCTCTCTCTCTCTTTCTCTCTCTCTCTCTCTCTCTCTCTCTCTCTCTCTCTCTCTCTCTCTCTCTCTCTCTCTCTCTCTCTCTCTCTCTCTCTCTCTCTCTCTCTCTCTCTCTCTCTCTCTCTCTCTCTCTCTCTCTCTCTCTCTCTCT